CATTTCTGTTTTTTTCCATTCCTTTAACATTATAACTTGGATTAAGCGACGCTTCTGATTTTTCGAGGATGGGGGAATAAACTTAAAGAAAGAAAGAAAGAAAGAAAGAAAGAAAAAGTAGATGAATAAGAAAGAAAGAAAGAAAGTACTGAGCTAAAAAAATTAGTGAAATGTGATAGAATAGAAGAAAGAAAAAAGGAGTTACTAATTAAGAGAAAAATGAAACTGGTATGAGAAAGAAAGAAAAAATAACGAAAGAAAAAATGAAAGAAATCAAGTAAATGTGAAAATGAAGCAAATAAAAAAGAAAGAACGAAAAAAGAAAGAAAGAAGGAAAGAAAGAAGGAAAGAAAGAAAGCGTAACGAGGAAAAAGTATTAGTAAAAAGTGGTAGAATAAGGAAGAAAGAAAGAAAGAAAGAAAGAAAGAAAGAAAAGAGAAGTGGTTTATTTAGAGAAAAATAAAAATGGAATTAGAAAGGAAAAAGAAAAATAACGAAAGAAAAATAACGAAAGAAAGAACGAACAATAGAAATAAAGTAAATGCAAAAATGAGGCAAAGATGTCTCTGAATAAGAAAGGAAGAAAGGAATAAAGAAAGAAAGCGTACTGATGAAAAATAATTAGTAAAAAGTGGTTGAATAAGAAAGAAAGGAAAAAGAAGTGGCTGATTAAGAGAAAAATGAAAATGGAATAACAAAGAAAGAAAGAAAGAAAGAAAGAAAGAAAGAAAGAAAGAAAGAAAGAAAGAAAAAAGAAATAGATGTGAAAATGAATAAAAGAAAATGGAGTTGTTGAAAGAAAGAAAGAAAAAGATTAGAAAACATTTCAAAGAGGTAAAACAAGAGAATGAGGAAAGACGGGATATAAAAGAGATACAATAGGAAAAAATAAACGAGTGAGAGAGTGAGAGAGAAAGAGAGAGAGAAAAGGCTTAAAAAAGGAGTTGATCAAATAACAGTAGCGAGAAAGAAAACAAAGCTATACAAAGGCAGGAAAGAAGAAAAGAAAGAAAACGAGACTGGAGTTTTAAGATCATAAACACGACAGAAATGGTTAAAAAAGAAGAACGTAACGCAATACTAAAGAAATGAGGGAAAACAGCAGCAGAGCGGCAAAAAGACGAATTGGAAAACGAAAAAGAGAAAAAAATGTTCAAGAAAAGCAGATATAAGAGGGAAAAAAGGCGCCAACCGTTGAGCACATCTGGAAAACGTTTGACATTCTTAATGGCAGCGCACATCATGGATTGGCTAGTTGCAGACTAAGATTCTGCAAACTTTAAGAGATTTTATTACTCACTAAACAAAACAGTTACCCTTATCGGCAAACGTTTCGCATAGAAAGCGATATAAGTACATAACAAACAACTATTGTGTGTGTTGGTGTTTATGCATGAATGAGTCGCAAGGGGGCGCTCAGATGGATGGAGACGTTCTGTCTTCTATTTATTTTAGTTTAGTTATCGTTTCTGATAGCTAAAAACAATAATTACAAAACAATTTCCAGTGATAATATTTTTAAGGCGGTAGAATATAAATTTGCATATCCAGAGAAGATCGTTTACAAATTTGCATATACAGAGATGTGCGTGTACAAATTTGCATATATAGAGATGTGCGTGTACAAATTTGCATATATAGAGATGTGCGTGTACAAATTTGCATATATAGAGATGTGCGTGTACAAATTTGCATATACAGAGATGTGCGTGTACAAATTTGCATATATAGAGATGTGCGTGTACAAATTTGCATATACAGAGATGTGCGTGTACAAATTTGCATATACAGAGATGTGCGTGTACAAATTTGCATATATAGAGATGTGCGTGTACAAATTTGCAATCATGTCTTCGTTTATTATATTTATAAATTATTTATCCATCCGAAAAACAGTCCTACTCGACATAAATATTTTAATAATAAATATTAAATTTTATTAAACAAACATTGTGGTAACATGAAATATGACACTAATTTGAATTTATATAATTTGTGCCATCAACTTGGACAAATTATGGAAGCCAGAAACGACGGTCTCATAACAGACAAAAACAGAAAAAATCAGAAAAATAATCCCCAAATTTTTCAACGCGATTTGAAATAGACATAAAAACCAACTTAAAAGAAGTAGATTTCCTAGACGCTACACTCAACCTAAAGAAAAGGTACATATCAACCTCACAGAAAACCAAACGACCAACCGTCTTTATATACATACATCTCCCAACAATAATAAAGTAGATATCGTTATCAATAAACTGGAGGTTATTCGACAATTCTTCAACGAAGCCAAAAAAAGATTATCAAACAGCCTAAAAGATAGTGTATTTTCGGCAAAACTCATATAATTCGATACTCCATAAATTCAGCTAATGTTTAAGTGGGCCATGTCACAATAGCAACGTTTCATTGAGGACTGCCATTATGGAAATGATGACAAACGTGAACAAGGATCGCCTGATTTAGGAATAGCGTCGCTTTCAATGCCTCATCATCCTTGCAGCTGAGAATTGCTTTATTGTAGCCTTTTTTTTTTGTACACCCATGCAATTGTTTTAGGATAATATTCTGACTTTTTTCTATTGAATATCTTTGTTATTTTTATACAGTACTTTCTCGATTATCCGGAGACCTCGGGACAGGGATTGAAAAATATGTTCGGATAATTCAAAATTCTGGATAATTGAATACTTAAATTGTCGTAAAAGAATAAAGAAATATATTTTCTAAAAGAAATTTAGTATTTATATTATCAAATTATCAAAACATTTTCAAACACTTTATCCAAGGTTTCATTCAGTGTATTATTTATTTATTTATTTTGAAAAACACGCTAAATTCAGACGCCTTTCAATGAAAATTGGTCCGGTGACCGGAAATCTTTTTGTTCGTTGTTGTCGAAGCCATGACACTATTGAATTCATCGAACATTTCACTTTTCATGTTCAGCATTTAACCCAGAGTTGAATATTCACAGGTCACACTTCGTTCATTCAAAATTCTTTAAACTTTCCTCTTTTCTCAAAATATCGCTGACTGAATTTCCTTATATTATATTTCGCCATTATCTCGTTTTGGGGGAATTTTATTCCGTACCATGTGACAAACATTTCATTTCTCTTCAATAGATAACGCTACCAATTTTATTTTTGAATTAACATTGATTGACGTTTTTATGGCTTATCAACCTTATCAGGTTATTTAAAGCCAGAAAATATTTTTGCATTGTAAAAATTTTTTGCAGATAAGTATAATTTAGTAATACAAGTCCTAATAATTAACACATAGCTGGGGGGAGAAGAAGAGAATTCATACCTTTCCCAAAGGTATTTTTGCGAATGGGAATATAACGAACCCGACTAGAATTGAAACGGCTCCTAGATTTCCAATTCCGAGCAATTATCTATTACATCAGCCGCACATTCAAGATTAAAGCACCTGGTATTCCCAAGGAGTCTCTCCTCCAGGTACTGGCCAATTTCGATGTTGCTTAACTCCGGTCATCGTACGAGAACCGGTGTTTCAACGTGATATGGCCGTAAGCCTTTGATCTAACATTCGATTTTTTATACCAATGTTTACTTAATAGAAGGCCAAAGAGCCACCCAAGGTAGAGTGTTTCTGTGTGATGTTGTATGAGCATTAAGAAAGGGCAAGAAGCGAAGTTTATGGCGCTATTCTGGAAAGATAACGATTAATCCAAGATTTGAAGAGGCCAAAATTATAGGGATCGGGAAAATATCTTGCCGGGAGTCTGTCACACGAAGAAGCATTTCTTGGGACGAAGCTGTCCGAGTGGAACTTAAATTCTTACTAAAGGAATACGAAGGGAGCGGGGATGATTCACTCTTGTGTACGCGGCTTAGTAGAACCCAGTTGTAATTGTCAGAGCTGGTGGGACTACGAAATGGCAGAACATATGTTATGAAAATAGCGACAGTGAGGCTGGCGACGTTTCGTCTGTTGGAACGGGGTTCTAGGGTGGAAAATAATTCACCACCCACAAGGCAGCGTAGATGCTTTTTAGCTCTATCAAGACAGGCAAGTGAGGACTGAGCAGCTGCAATCCAAATATGGCAGCAATGCTACCTTTTTCGTCTGATCTGGCTTTTGTAAAGATAGACTATAGCCGGGGGAGTCAGGTACTTACTGAAGCGGTACAATGAACCAACCGTTTTTCCATCATCTTTAGCAAGAGATTCACTGTTTCTGCGTGGTGTTGTATGAGCATTCCGAAAGTGCAAGAAGTCAAGTTCATGGCGCTATTCAGGAAAGATAACGATTGACCCTAGATTTGAAGAGGTCAAGATTATAGTGATCGGGAATATATCTTATTGGGAGTTTGTCACACAAAGCAACAGTTCTTTGGAAGAAGCTGCCCGAGTGGAACTTAACTTCTTACTTTTGGAATATGAAGGGAATGGGGATGACTCACTCTTGTGTACGTGGCAGGGTCGGTCCCAATTGTAAATATCAGGGCTGGTTCGACTAAGGAATGTGGCTTGCCAGAACACCTGTCATGCAATTAACGGTAGAGCAGCCAGACGCTCGCAACATTCCAATTTCAAAGATCACAAAGTATGACAAGACGAATCTCGTGTTAATAAAGTCAAAGTGCAGAATGAGTTGTCTGGTCAGTTAGGAAATTCTGCCATCGTTGCTCGCGACATTTCCGGATAATGGAAGCATGGAAAATCGAAGTACGAATAATGTGGCAAGAAATGCGTTGTAAACTATAATTAGTTAAATGTAGTCACTACTAAAGAAAGTTCCAATATCTTGGACCGATTTTAAATGTGAATTAAGTTTAAGCGTCTAATGATTTTTTTTTTCTTTTTCTTTCAGATTTAACAACTTAAGTCTTTGGCAATTTCAACCATGGAAAGATTAACAATCAAACATGTTAAAATTATCGAAGCGTATTACGAGAGTGCAATTTGGAAAAATTGTTCGTAAATTCAAACAAATTGGGTCGATGGCAGATGTGAAAACACCACTCTCAGTTGGTTGATTATGTTGACCAAAAAAAATCACGAAGTTCGCGAAATGCATTTCTGTTTGAAAATCACGAAGTTCGCGAAATGCATTTCTGTTTGAACGTCCATTTTCGTAATAGGCTTCGATAACTTTAACGTGTTGTTTGATTATTAATCTTTCCATAGTTGAAATTGGCAAAAGATTTAAGTTGTTAGATCTGAAAGAAAAAAGAAAAAATCTTTAGACGCTTAAAATTAATTCACATTTAAAATCGGCCCAAGTTATTGGAACTTTCTTTATTTCTCTAGTAATTTCGTCTAGAAGGTTAAGATTAGTTGTATCTACCAGGGCGTCCACGTTGCAACCGGATGTGACATAAGGTCGAGGTTTAAAGTGGGTTTAACGGCCACAGCGCGCAAAAATTCCCAAGCCCACTTGGTACTTCCCCTTTAGATGTCTCATGGGCCGGGCAATACACCTAGACTCCCCCCGACGGAGAGGTACTGCATGTGGGGAAAACCCACTGCAGCTTAGGCTAATATTCAGTGAATACTAATCCCAACCAAAAGTTACGATTAATGATATTTACCAGGGCGAACGCGTCGCAACTGAGTGTGACACAAGGTTAGTTAAAAGCGGGTTTAACGGCCATACCATGCAAAAATCCTAAGGCTCTAGACACTTCCCCATCTGTGCAAGTCTCAGACACAAGGAAATAGACCCAGCCCCACCCTGGGGGAGAGGTACTGTCTGGGGAGAAAGCCCACTGGAGCTTGGGCTAATACTGAAAGAATACCAATCCCAGCCAAAAAGTTGGGTTTAGTTTAGCCTCCAGCTGTATCAACTGCTATTTACATCGTGGAGATTTGCATATGAATGCAACAAACTGCATTATTTATTTGTTCCCATTTACTTGGCGCACCCAGGACACGCGCATACTTAAGCGTGACATGCGTGTCAAAATGCAGTTATTTCAAGTCTATTTACAGGAACGTTCATTATTCGCTTGTTTTGATCGAAAGTCAAAGTTAGATTTCTTTCACCGCCATTTTTTCAACGTACAGAAATAGAAGCTCATTTTATCGGCAGATTTTCTTTGAAGGCTAAATGTTTTTTAGGGCACAATGTACTCTAGGGAAAATGATCTCAAAGATCAATAAATTAAAAGAAAATACAAAACTGGCATAGGTTTCTGAATTCCTTCGGGAATTAATATTCTTATCTTACTTCTGAGAAGAGGTTAAGTACATTCTGGTAAACTATTAACATTAACTTGACACGAGAGACTCTACCGCCACGACACGGAGGAGGATTTTCCATATGGTATTTTCAAATAGCAAAATTTCAACACCAGTTTTATTAATGACGTTTATTTCGCTGAGTCTAATTTGCCTTAGAATGAATCTGATAAAAAGTAGTTTTTCAGTCAGGGCAACGACAAATTTGAAAATTCAGAGTACCATATTTCCTGACGTCGTGGACACTTCGTCTTTAAAGATGTACCCGAATTTTGACTCGCGGAAAAGAAAAATGTGGAAAAGAAAAATATACATACAATTAATGAAACCTTTGGCCTACAGGAATAAATTTTCTGAATATTTGCCTGGGAAAAAATAAAATAACGCCTTCAGCGCGGAAATATACTGGAAAGCCGATTTGAACCAATGAAATAAAGATAATTTTGATGAGAAAGTTATCTACATCCGGACTAATGTCCTTGTCTTTGTTGTTATTATCACACCGTTTCGGTCGTGATGATCTCCGGACTTCTTCAGGTGTCAGAAATTTAAACAGAAATGCTGAGAAAAAAAAATCGATTTACAAGGATAATGAAATTTATAAATCATATCTCCCAAAAGACTTTCAAACAAATTCAAGCTTTTAATGAAATTCTGCATTTAAGTTAGTCACCTAATTAAAACTTTTAGCATTATAGAAATCCTGATCGGAATTGGAACAAAAGTTCAGATTTTTTTTAATAGATGACGTTTGAACACGTGACTTTGTTTCCCACGTGCACGTGATTGCAATTCATATGTATAAATTCTGAAAGCTGACACCTCGACGCAACTTTCTATACAACTCGGGTGGGAATTTTGAATTTTAAATGCTTTGTTTTTTTTTAATTAAATTTAAAGGGATTTTAACTTAAATAAAATGGAGAGTTAGATTCATTTTCATCGTTTGATATTCTTTTATTTCGCGAAATGAAAAAGTACGCCGTAAAACAGCAAAAAAGATATGTACCATTTTTGCAGATGGTGCCATAGCCAAATTTGCTGTTCATAAGTGGAAATTCTGATGTGAAAGACTGTGAACGTTCCGGCAGATCTGCAATCGATGCTAATGACCAAATCGTAACACTGATAATAAAATAATCTATCAAGGTCACGCAACACGGAACATCGCAGAGATAGTCCACATATTTGATATGAACATTGTAAAGCACCTGAAAACACTTGGATACCTGCTCGCTTACATGTATAGGTGCTTTACAATTTACTGAAAAAAGAATTTAATGGACAGCATTTTCATTTTAGATTATCTATTCAAGCTAAAAAATAAAAACATGTATGTATTTGCAAAGGATATTATAAGCATTGAAAAATGGATTGTTTACAACAATGTGGAGTGAAAAAATCTCCAGAAAAATGTAATCAGCCATCGTTAACCACTCCAAAAGCCGGTCTGCATCTGAAGAAAGCGATGCTGTTTACGTGATGGGATTAGGAAAGCACTGTGCATTAGGAACGGCTTCCACAAAATCAGACGTTGGACTCAGACAAGTCAGTCAGTCAGTTGTGTGCCATGCGTGATACACGCTGAGGCGATCATGTATCTTTCGATACATGGCTGACGAGGCAGGTTTTTTCCCGCAGTAGGCTTCATTCTGCGGTAGACCAGCTGCCATCCAAGGCTGTAGAACCCGGTCTGTCCTGCTATTTGTCCATAGCTAGGAGTGGGGAGAGGATTCATACTTTTCCCAAGGGTATTAGCACGTAAGTGAATGTCATGGATTCGACTGGAATTCGAACTCGGCTCTCCGATTCCTCAATCCGAGCCGCTATCAGACAAGTACTGTTCCCAACTGGAATTGGTCAAACTAAAAGCGTGTCGACATCTATCAGAACAACGCCAGACATCACGTCTCTTTGTAGGCCCTGGTAGAAATTGGTACTACTTGGCTGGTATATCACACCCACACTCATTTCCTCCCCTACAAAGTTCTATTCATGGGAAGAACTTTAATTCCCTGGAAGTTTCTAAAAACCACTGAGAAAAGTTGATTGCCCAGAAAGATGCCAAGTTCTGGCAAGGTGGAATCATAAAGCGGACTCAAAGACTGCGTAATATAGCGGGACCGAATTGCGCATGTGGTTGACTAAATCTAGCTAAAATCACCAAGAAGAAAACAATAAAAAAAACTATTAATGTAAGAGAACAATAAAAGAACAGGAAATAAGAAGACACAAAATAACGATTGACATTGCATTTAAATCCACGTACAAATATATAAATATTGTCTTTGAATTTCACTAAAAAACGCTACGAACTTGTATCCCGACCCAATAAATACTCTGCGTCTCACATTATTTGCTAATCTTCAGTTTTCTAATTTTTACGAAAAAGCTTGTAAGGGACTTTATGGAAATATTTACACGGTTAAGGCATAGGGTATTTCATATAATATGTATAAATTATAGTAGATTATATATTGTTCTTATGATGTCCTATAATTCTATGAATTTTGTCGGATTTTACAGATAATAGCCCAAGTTACTGAAACTTCAAGAAACACTATGTTATAATTAGAAACTATAGTTACTAAACATGTCCACAGTTTACAAAGACAAAGGTTCTTCGGTCCCGACAACTGTCTTATATCCGGGTTACACTGTATATATATATATATATATATATATATATATATATATATATAATACAATATGGTAATCCGTATGAAATTTCCAGGAGTATATAGATCCAGGGAGAGCTCTAGATCAAAAGACAGAGAAAAATTATTATTAAGAATATGAAACACTTAATATCCCATTTTTATTTCATGAGAGCTCTAAAAAGTACCTCTCAATCTTCAAGACCTACAAACAAAATTTTTAATTAATTAATAATATATATATATACATACATATATATATATATATATATATATATATATATGAATATTATTTAATTAATATGTGTGTGTGTGTGTGTGTGTGTGTGTGTGTGTGTGTGTGTGTGCAGATATGTAGAAAAATAGGAAAGAACACGTTAGGTAAATAATCCGGAATTCTTAAGCATTTTTTGTTTTATTTTAAAAAAACAGTGCTCCATACAGAAGTAGAGCTTAAATTATAATTATTTTTAAACAATTTAATTTTAATAATTATATTGAGGTTTTCGGCTCTTGTTTTTGAAACATGAGAACTCTTATGTAGCGAAGGAATCATACTTTTTAAAATAATTATATATATATATATATATATATATATATATATATATATATATATGAGAATGGATTCTTCGTTTATTAATCCGATATACGTGCATCCATTAAAAATAACATTTAAGCAACAAATTAATATAAATATATATATGAATTAGGATCAAATTACAGAACAATTTGGATCGGAATCCAACTGAATGATACAAATGGGAAACTGTCGCCAATCAAGTATTGCGCTTAAATTCATAGTCTGGATACCATAGAGAAAAGTTCATCAGAACAATTACCATGAAAATATTTATAGAAAATTAACCCATAGTTGGTGGGGGGTGAGAAGAAGTGGGTTCCTAATTTTTTTTTTTTTAATTTGCGCGTAAGTGAATATAACGAACCCGAATGGAATTGGAACTCCGATTAACGATTCCAAGGCGTTATCCATTACTCCAACCGCACACCCAAGCATACAGCATCTGATATTCCCAAGTGGTCGCCCATCGAGATACTGAACAAGCTCGGCATTGCTTAACTTCGGTGATCGTACGAAAACCGTTGTTTCAACGTGATATAGCCATAAGCCCACATCTTGCCTAGTGCTCCTGCTGGATATTTAAAGATTCTTGACAAAATCCAAAGAAGAATCTGCAATGTTATTCGTCCTGTTCTGGCATCTCAGCTTCAGTCATTTTACTACCGCCGTAACGTAGCTTCTCTGTACTTTTTCTGCAAATCTTGCATGGTGATTGTCTTGATGAACTTTACTCTATGGGACTTGTACTTTATGACTTTAAGTACCGTACTAGATTGGTGGCAAGGTTTCATCATTTTATAGTTCAACAGTGTTCTTCAAAACTTTAAATGCAATGTCAATCGTTATTTTCTGTCTTCTTAAATTCCGTTCTTTTATTGTTCTTTTCTATTAGTAAGTCTTTTTTCTCATATTCTCTCACACTCAGTAACCACTTGCATCTTAGTAGCTTTATTTGCCTTGTTCGGGACGAAATGATTAGCAGAAAAGAGCAAAAATTGTACTTCAGACAGTTTACTCACAATTTTGAACCCGACGTACAGGAGTGGGTGTAAAGTTGTAGTGTATATGCGAATTTATTTTAAAGTATATGGAATAAATTAAATTTTAGTTATAAGAAACGAACATTTTTTAAAGAATAAATATAGTTATTTACCTAACTAGGGTAAGTCTTATTAAAGGAATTCCACACATAAACTGAATGTTATTCAATTTATTCATTTTGCCCTTTGGGACAACAGTAAACTTATGTTCTACTACAAAACACACACACATTCTGGGAGTGAGAACGAGACGGGGAGAGAGAGAAAGAGGAGCGTCTACGAAAGCGAGACATCTTAACGGTAGATGAAAGAATGGGGTGAGGATATATTCAGTTTGGGAGTTTGGTATGCAAAATTTCCTCCCTCACTCCCGCAGTCATTGAAGTTAATGCAAAGGGAACCTGCTTAAGTTTCTTAAAAGTAATTTCATTCATTTAAAAAATATTTTTTTTTTTCTTATTTACTCCGGCTATGGTTTCATTCATTTGAAACTGGCGACCAGCTTGATTTGCATTGAAATTAACACGCGCAGTAGCGATTGACAGAAAAGAGGTCCCAAGAGGAGGGAGAGTTGAGACGATTCATATCATAGTGCAACGAATAGCAAGGGAAATTATTAGAGACTTGCTGTCACTTGCTACCCAGAAATCACGAGCTGGTGTGACGCGAGCAAATTACGTATAATTATCGAAATTTATACCAGCTGCTGTAAACTTGGATGCACGGGTGGTTTAACGGAGAATGGCTCGGAATTGTTAATGCACCTCTTCTCTCCCCCGCTATTGGTTAATTAGTAAAACTTGTATCTCCCCCCACCACCACCAAAAGTCTTAGTCTAAAAATATTTTCTGGCTTTAAATAATCTGCACAGGGTTGATAAACCGTAGAAAACGAATCAAGTAAGAAAGCAAATAAAACACCATAGAAAGTGTTACTTCTGCGAAAACTGTAACAATTGTCAATCCCAAAACTAGCTAAGAAAGAATACAAAAACAGATATGTCTGAGAAGGAACGGTAATCTATTGGGCATCGTGCAAACAACTTGGATTTTATCACGTGGACCCTAATGGTATAAATATAGGCTTCCAAAGTATACAAAAAACCCATTGGAGATTTAAAATTCAACAGATTATCATATCTAGGTGAGGTCGCCAGATCTAGTCATCGTAAACAAAGAAAACAAGATCTGACATGAAATATAACTCTTCCAGCAGGAAATGAAACTAGAACTCCGAAAGTTGCACAAAGACCTTGCCTGAGGACTAAAGCAATTGCACAATATAAAGATAATATTTCGTCCTCGAATTTATAGGCGTTAGAATATTATCGAAGAAATTTAATATTATATCCGTTCACCAAAGCTCGTTGGATAAATAAGCCCACTGTCTTCCTCTGTTTCGTTTGCTTTCGATATGTCCCTTGATTTTCCAAGCCCTCTTTCCTCATTATGTGTCCAAGAAATTTCAGCTGTCACTTTTGTTTCCACTATCCTTAAAATTTTCGCGTTGCATACGCGGAACGTGCATGGTATTCTCAACATCCTTCTGTAGAATCACATTTCTGTATCCTCCTGTCTTCTCTTCACCCGTGAGGCAATTGTCCAGCATTCACTACCGTAAATGAAGATTGATATCATATAACAGATCAGTACTCCTTCCTTCGTTTCTAACTTTTTTTTCCTGTTTCTTAATACTTTGCTTAGTTTTGCAAGGCATCTTTTGCTATTCCAATGCGCGTTCAGATTTCGGTGACATATTTTCCATCCTTTATTAAAACCCTTTCCAGATATTTAAACTTCTTGGTTGATGTAACATTTGCAAAAGACAAACTGGCAAGAATACCGAAGAGAGTGCTGGGAGAATAAGAAAATTCATCCAGTGACAGCAAACGGATATTTTATTTTCTAAATAGCATTTCCATTCAGGCTGTTGATGATGCAAAGTTTTCTTTATAGCTGGAAACGGTTCTTCAGAACTGTTTCTCGCCTAGAATATTCCAAAGATTCCAATCTGTTCTGCTGTTTAATCTGTAGCCGAGGATAGGTGGGGGAGAAAAACAGATCTATGCCTTCCCCAATAAAGTGACCATAAGGCTGACCCAGTCGGAATTCGAACTCTGCTCGTCGGTCCAATTTTGTTAATCAAACCGTAGCTAGAATGAAAGCTTAATTAATTCCAACCTGAACTTATCTTCCAGGACAGTGCCGGCGCATACTACACCCAAACACCCCCGACCAATGGAGAAGCCTGATTGGGGACCTCGAAAAAGTGCTTTGTGACCCTCACTATCTTATCTACATTTGCTTTTTTCTACCTACATTTATATACGTTACAAATTAATTTAAGCACAACAGTTTATTAAAGGATGAAAGTTTTGTGTTTTTTTTTTCGTTCAAATTCCATGAATTTGTTTTCCTTATGCTAAGTTTCGAAAAAAACACTATATAAAATTCACTATCTTTTTTTTTATTCAAAATGTTGAATGTGTTAAAATTCTTCAACTTTTTAACAAGAAAAATCTGAAGTTGTTGTTAAAATTTGCCGGAAGACATTGTTGACTTATTTAAGAATATGGAATTATCTGTTATGTTGTCTTTAATTTCTATTTAGATACATTGTATTTATTTTCATTTTTCCTATTTGAATTGTTCGCGTTTATTGCATATGATCTATTATTGTACAATAAAATTTGTATTTTATATAAATACTACTTTGTGAAAATTAAAATGTAGTGGATCTGTATCATAGATTCAGTGGAGGCACGAAAACATTGTACCGGTCCTGCTCCAAGACATAAATCCTTAAAAATGATTGTTTACCGATTGTTCTTTATCCAAGACAGATTACCAGAATAAATTTTTACCAACCAGAAGAACAAATATTTGCCACTCAGAAGAACAAATATTTGCCACTAATAAAATATATAATAGTAAATATTAGTCCTTTTATATGCATAATGTCATGGGAGTCTTAATAATCGGATGGTCTTAATAAAAGAGGATCGGGAAGTCATTTGAAGGGTCAAAATATGCGAAATTAATAGATTGGATGGACTTAATAAACCTGCTAGGGTTTGAAAATTTTCTTAAAAAATAATAATAATAAATGTCCCCACTCCGTCAATTAGGTATCTTTGAGAACCTTGCTTGTAAGCAAGGAAAAAGAGAAAGTATCAAAGTGATAAAATGTGAATAATCATCAAACCACTTGCGATCTTTTCAAAAGCTTTTTCAGAGAAAAAATAAACACCGGGAATGATTTAAATATCCTAATAAGAATCAAGATGATTCATACGAATAAACGCGAGACAACTAGAAATAATGTTGATAGACGCCTGAAAACATTTAGACATTAGCGGCGAAAACACGTGTTTGAAAGCGATATACTCATTTTATTAAAAGAAGAAAACAAAAACAAAAAAACAAACATAAAATGGAGGCCAGCAAAAATGCGTACAACATATGCCATAGTTTTTTTTCCGGGGGACCTGTTCGTAAACATCTTTTTCTTCTTTGTCACCATTTAATTCAGTGAAGTCCTCACTCAAAGGAAAAAGGTGCTCCACTTATATATATTTTTTTTTCTTATTTCATAACATTCCTATTCGAACATCTTATTCAAAGACATCACCAGGACTGCCTGCAATATCTGCATGCTACCCAGACACACCCGCTGGGTAAACTTTACAAAATTCCGATATTATTTCTCCTCTGGCAAAAAAGTAGATTAAAAAATCATTTATATATGTCTGGAAAAAATCATTAGTACATATCTAAAAACATGTTTAGTATATGTCTCAAAATGTCATTAGTGTATGTCTCATAAAAATTATTAGAATATATTTAAAAACTTGATTATTATATGTCACAAAAATTATTAGTATATGTTCAAAACCTGATTAATATATGTCTCAAAAGTCATTAGTACATATCTCAAAACGTCTAAAAAGTAAAAAATCATTAGGATATGTTTTAAAAGTTATTAGCATATGTCTCAAAACGTCTAAAAAGATCATTAGTATATGCCTAAAAGATCATTAGAATATGTTTTAAAAATCATTAGTATATGTCTCAAAACGTCTAAAAAATCATTAGTATATGCCTAAAAAATCATTAGAATATGTTTTAAAAATCATTACCATATGTCTCAAAACGTCTAAAAAATCATTAGTATATGCCTAAAAGATCATTAGAATATGTTTTAAAAATCATTAGTATATGCCTAAAAGATCTTTAGAATGTTTTAAAAATTATTAGTATATGTCTTAAAACGTCTAAAAGATCATTAGTATATGCCTAAAAGATCATTAGAATATGTTTAAAATCATTAGTATATGTCTCAAAACGTCTAAAACGATCATTAGTATATGCCTAAAAGATCATTACAATGTGTTTAAAATTATTAGTGTATGTTTCAAGTTGAAATCGCTATATCCGATTTTCACGAAGTTGGTTAATGATAAAAACGTTCAAAATACATTTTTAAGATTTTTTCTTAATTTTACA